CCTCTGTGGCCCCTCCAGGGAATTTGGTCTGGGGGGGGGGGGGGGGCCTCTCGCTGTCGCTGCCACCATACTCAGGGCAGTGGAGCTAGAGTAGTTTTCCGCTCCTCACTATAGCTCCTAGCATGTCCCTGCAGCCCCACCGTGTACATGTGTGTGTCTGTCTCTCTAGAAGCAGCACATGGGAACACCCTCCCACACTGGGGCTACAAGGATGTACGAGCCAGCAGCTGTGCTGAATGAGCAACTTTGCCATACTACATTGCTGATGATGGGAGGGCAGTGGAGCTAGAGTAGTTTTCCGCTCCTCACTATAGCTCCTAGCATGTCCCTGCAGCCCCACCGTGTACATGTGTGTGTCTGTCTCTCTAGAAGCAGCACATGGGAACACCCTCCCACACTGGGGCTACAAGGATGTACGAGCCAGCAGCTGTGCTGAATGAGCAACTTTGCCATACTACATTGCTGATGATGGGAGTGGGGTCCTCCAGGGCCATTTTAAATCACCTGGGGGTTGCAGGTGGGGCTAGGGGAGAGACCCAACCCCAAACTTTGCTGGAGTAGGGCCTTCGTGCCCAGAATATTCCTGGTGCCTATGCACCAAAGATCCATATAACTTGCTACCTATGCCTGCTTCTTCCCACCTATGGTATTACTGCAGCTGTGATGAGCAGCGGTGCTGGAGGGGGGGAACTTCTTGGTTTACAGGGCAAGGCTGTTTGTGAGGGTCATTTACTCTGGGATGTCAAGGATAGTGAGTTCCCAAATTTGTGACTAATGTAATTGGTGAGGATGACTGAGCAATACTGGAGAGGGTTAGACAGCTGAGCGGGTAAGTCTGGAGTGGTCATCCCGGGTGGCTGATTATTTGGCTTTTATTGAAAACGTGGTGGTTTTAGGATGGGTTTGTTCTAAATGTTATCCAGATTTTACACACCCTCCAGTTGTCTGTATCCAACTTCTGTGCCAGCAGCTTGATTTACCTTTTTAAATTGAGTTTTTTATTAAACGCAAGCAAATTCCAGTTAGCACCGCCACTCCTGTGTTACTGCTTTTTTGTTAAATTCTGTTCATCACCACCCTGAATATAAGAATGGCCATACTAGGTCAGCCCAAAGGTCCATCTAGCCCAGCAAACTGTCTTCCAACACTGGCCAATGCCAGGTGCTTCAAAGGAAATCAACTGAACAGGTAACCATCAAGTGATCTAACCCAACCCTATTTCCTGCTTCTGGCAAACTGAGGCTAGGGACACTTAAGGACATGGTTTTGCATCCCTGCCCATCTTGGCCAATAGCCACTGATGGGTCGAAATGCATTCCTCGGTTTCCACCAAAGAAATAACCCGTGTGGGCAGTGACCTAGATTGTTCTAAGAGAACGATTATAAATATGGATTAAAAGAAAAATCCATCTCAGCTCTATTTGGATTCCAACAAGAGGGAGATTGGAGATTCCCCAGGTTTATTTTAGGTAGCTCTGAGAGACTTTTGGGAAACTGACAGGTTACTACAACTCTGCTTACAATTGCAATGATAGATTGTAACTTGCCCATACCTATATTTTACCTTCTTTAACTACTCAATAACTCATTTATCCGCCTCCCCAAAAATAATAAAGCTTAAAGTAGTTTACTATAGAATCAGATACCAGCACTGTCTTTGGTGACAGTTCTAGGGAACTGGGGGTAACCTGGAATATAGTCCATCTTGCCTGGGTGGTGAGGTACATGAGAAAGCAAAGGGGACCATCTGTGACGCAATTGCAAGACTACTGCAGCACTTTTAAGAGTTTGAGTTTGGTGATCATACAATCAGCATGAGGTGTCTGCCCTGCTTTTGACAGTCTGTTCTGAGGTAGGCACTCAAGTTTATGAACCACTCCAGACAGCGTGACAGTAATTGCCAGAAATCTGACCAGATAATACCTCTACTTCTGCAAAAGATACCAGAAGATCTTTAATTATCACAACTGGTCAGGACTTTGGTTAAGTCTAGTCCAAAATTTGGCAATTTCAACAGCACTGTGCCCCCAATGCCAAGCTAGGGCATGGGTTCAGGACTGACCAGAGAGAACATGCGCACCTACAGTTATACCCATCACTACTTTTTGCAGCATCCAAATATTCCTTGGGATTCTCCCATCCAAGTTTGGAAACAAGGCTAATCTGACTTAGCTCATCAAATCTGACAGGATCACTGCCCAAAATAGTATAAATGTAGTCCTGTGGCACCTTAAACACTACGGCTATGTATACACTTGCGGCTTCTTGTGCAAGTACAGTCGTTCTTGTACAAGAATCTGCAGAGAATCCACACTTGCCCGCCTGCTCTTGCGCAAGTAAATGTACAGTAAGGCATGGTAAGAAAAGGCTCCTTGCACGAGAGCTATGCTCTTTTTTGACAGGTGTAAG